CTGGGGGAGCTGGTGGAGGTGAAAAGCCAAGCTCCTTTCCATCATCTGTCAGCCCTCCTGGTCAACTGGAGATGCACTTTGGCCACAACACCAGGCACCGCTATGGCCGTGGGGCAGAGCAGCTGGAAGTCAGCGTAGAGGAAGTGGATCTGGGGTTATCGGTTGACACTCAGCTGAACACGAGCCAGCAGTGTGCCCAGTGGCCAAGAGGACCAATGGCATCCTGGCCTGCATCAGAAATGGTGCTGCCAGCAGAGCAGGAAGTGATTGTCCCTCTGCACTTGGCTCTGGTGAGGCTGCAGCTCCAGTGCTGTGTTCAGCTCTGGGCCCTTTGCTGCAGGAAGGGTCCCGGGGAGACCTCACTGCTCTCTAACTCCTGAGGGAGGCTGTGGTGAGCTGGGGGTTGGTCTCTGTTCTCACCTAACAGTGAGAGGACAAGAGGGAATGGCCTCAAGTTGTACTAGGGGAGATTCAGCCTGAACGTTAGGAAGTATTAGTGCTCCAGCAGAGTGGTCGGGCTGCAATGGGCTGCACTGGCAGCGGTGGAGTCGCCGGCCCTGGAAGTGTTCAAGGAACAGTGAGACGTTGTGTTGAGGGACACAGACTGGAGAGAGCTATTGATGATCTCAGTCTTGGTGATCGTGTGATTCTGTGATTCTGGGTGGGGGACTGAGGGGGGACATTAGGTGGGGGACAAAGATCAGAATGGGGGAACAGAAAGGGTGGGACAGGGTTGGGGGGGAAAAGGGATCCTTAGGGTATGAATAGAGGGACTCAGTAGGGCGGAACAGGAGCCCCTGGTGGTCAGAATGGGGAGTTTCAGGGGGGAGGGAAGGGGGGAGGGGGAAGGGATTCTAGGAGTCAGAATGGGGGTCTGAGGGTTTGTCCTGGTGGGGCGAGGGGGAGTTAAATAGGATCAGAATGGGGGAACAGAAAGAGTGGGATGGGGTAAGGGGAGGAGGAAAGGACATCTACCCTGCCAGGAGTGTCTTATAGGTGATCAGAACTCGCTGACGTTGGCAAACTTTGAGTTTGGTCAAGATGTCGATGATGGCATCTTCATCCATGCCTGCAAGAAACAAATGGAAGCTAGTCAGGCTGCTTGCACAGGAATCAGAAGCGCTCTCTGCTCTTGTGCCACCTCAAGTCCCCTACACAGCCAGCTCTACACAGCCCCAGGACTACAGCTATGCACACAAAGCTGCCACAAAGGACCACACCACGACATGAAGGGCAGTTCTGTTTCCACTTTCCAGTGATTTTTAGGGCAGCTGTATAGCAGAGCATAGCAAGCAGCTACCTTCCCTCTAACAAACCACCAGAGCAGCTACTCCCAGTGCTGGGGAAATGCCCCGCGTCCTCGCCCTTCTCTTCCTGCAGCTCCAGCCGGGGTCAACACCCCGGGGCCCCGGCAGCGGAACGGGCGCACGCCCCGGGGTGCTGCCATCCGAGACGCGCGCGGTGATGACGCAATGGCGGCGCAACCGCGGACGAAAAGGATCCCGCGCGGAGCGCCCGCCCCATTCGGCGGACGGACCACTGGGAGAGCAAAGGAGGGCGGGGCCGAGCACGGGCTCTCCGCCAATGGCGGACGTGAACGCGGGGCCGCCGCGATGGCGCGACGGCAGACCCGCGGCACTCCGCCACCCCGTGCCTCGGGGACGCCGGCAGAAGCTTGGGGATGACCTCAGCTGCATATCAGTACAGATATTAAACATGATGGGCCCCAATGCCGACCCCTGGGGAATGAGAGAGGTGCTCAACTCCAATGATTTCTGATCAGGAAATGATCTCAGTGAAGCAGCAAAGTTTTTACTCATTACTGCAACAGTGGGTGGGCACCCCCCTTATGGCAGGGAGACACTGTGCGCATGATCAGTTGAATACTTCTCATTTTATATATATATATATGAATATTATATATCTTTCTCCCATCACAGGTCAAGTGGCCAAGTACTCCAGGCATACAATCCATGCAACACAGTTAATAATTTGTCTTTCCATGTGAGAGGTACCACCAACCTCACGTTTTCAGGATGCATACAGGAGGGCAATATTTCTTGAAGCTGTTATGCCTGTTTCATCCTATGCCAAGCCTTCCTTACCCTGCTCCGTATTTTTCCTTCCCTTACTACTTAGAAAGGACATATTTAAAAATAAACCTGTAGTAAAATATCTAAAGTTACTGAGCCCCAATTCCTGATTTATGACCCCTATTATGCTGTGTTAGCATGCATAAATTTAATTCTGTGTTTACATTTATTCTGCAGTTTTTCCCTTGCATATTCCTTTGCAAAAGCTCACATTGTTTGTGTTTGAACATGGTTGGTTCAAAGCCCTTTGTGTTGAGTTCTTATCCCAGTCCATGCCCTAGCCTCTGCTCTGTTCTGCTGCTCAGCATCCTTCTTGCAGCAGCTGTTCGGCAAGAAAGCTGTAAGTTCATTAAAGGCCTATGCCCTGGTATTAGAAGTTTCTACTGCTGTCACAGCGTTATCTCTGGATCAGTGTGTGTCCGTGGCAGGGGAACAGCAGGCCTACAGCCTGAAATAAAAAACAGAGGGTGGGCGGCTGTGTCAAAGGTTTACAGGCCCATTTGGACAGGTTCCGTGACTGATGGGGCAGGGGACCCACAGAACCATGCCCAGAGAAACGGGGAAAGGGATAAAGGGGGAAGGGTAGGGAGATGGGCCTAAAAGCAAAACAGTGGCAATGAGCAGGGGGAGAACACTGATTTACTAACTACGATGTCGGAATGCAAGATAACGCAATAAAATACCATACGATTGGGGTTGAGGCTAATGAATCAAATAAAATGAGAGTGTCCAAAACCAAAGGCCTTACTCTAAAGCTGAAGGCAAGACAGCTAGGGAGCACGCACTGCTGAAACAAGCAGCAGAAAAAGAGCAGTCTTGTGACTTGCAAGCAGTTTTATCTTTCCCTCTGAATGGAAAACGGAAACGCAAAGTCCTCTCGGGTACGCAGTTCTCTTGTTAGAACCAGGCACCCAGCAATGCAGCAGTCTGTGGTACCGGAGCACTGGCTCTAGCTCCCAGTGCTTCACGTGCTGTTATGGTGTGGAATACTGATAACAAAAATCATACAACCATGACAGTGGCAAAAACACAATCTTAACTCTCACAGGAACACAACTCGTGACAGGTCGCCAGCCGGATTTAACTCCATTCACTGCCACTCTGCACCCAGCCCTTCAGCCACTGCTTTACCAACCCAGCCATGGGATGCCAGTTTCTCCAGAAGAATAAGCAGCAGACAGTGCCAAAGGCTTTGCTGAAGTGTAGACTACGTCAACAGCCTTTGCCTCATCTACCAGGTAGATCACCTGATCATAGAAAGAGATCAGGTTGATTGAGCAGGACCTGCCTTTCACAAACACACACAGGCCTTATTCTGCTTCCATCCCAGTCCTCCAAGTCAGCGGGTGGAGTACCTGAGCATAATTGATCTGACTTCTAAAGACAGACGTACAGAAGACACTGAGAACCTCAACCTTTTCCTTATCCACAGTAGTCATGTTCCCCACCCCATCCGGTAAGGGACGAAATTCTCCTTAGCCTTCCTCTTATTATTAACATATTTGTAAAAAGGTTTTTTGGTCTCTTTTCCTACAGTGGCCAGGTTGAGTTCATGTTGGGCTTTCATCTTTCTAATTTTCTCCCTGCATGATCCTGACCATTTCTATGTGCTCCCCCTGAGTTTCCTGTCCCTTCTTCTACAGGAAGCAAACTCTTCTCTCCTGGAGCCTCAGCAAAAGTTCCCTGTTCTTCTCTGCCAGCTCATTCTACAGCACAGGGGAACAGCCTGCTCCTGTGCCTCTAAGACTGTGGGAATACAGGAAAACCTGTTCAGAGCAGCAGCTGTGGAGCAAGATAAACAGCAAGAGAGCCAAGGACACCTCTAGAAGAAGAAAGAATGTCTCGGCTCTGATTGGATAAGCGCCTGCATGAACGATTGAAGAGTGTTTTGTAGAATGCTTTGTCGACGTGTAAAGGTGGATGGGAAAGTTGTAGGGCAAGATGGGAA